GTCTAGGGATTGTCGATTCGTGTTTAGTCAAAATTCATGCCCTATCATCTCTCTCTCTCGAGTTCTACATCTTTTGTCTGGGGCTCTGTACTAGGATTGATTAGCTTCCACATAGCGTGGCATAGTGTATATGATGAAGATTCACACGTGTTACCAAAAATACTCCGTTAATTTCATAAAGAGTGTCATTCTAACCCATTTCACATGGATTGAATATTTTGTTTGAAATATGTATACATACCCCTAATAAATATACCATGATTCAAATACAAAATTTATTAGTTTTAAATGAGGGATAAAATATGAACTGAATATAAAAATCATCCTGGAAATGTTTTTTTTTCTAGGTCAAGTCATCTCGGAAATGTATAACATTCTTTTTGAAACAAAAAATTAACACTAAAATGACATTTTTTTTGTAAAAACGGAGAGAGTATAAAATTACTCAAACCAATGCATTGAGCATTGAGGAGAATATTGGGATGTACCATATCCGGTTTAGTTGGTTTATTAGATTGTTACCAGAATATTGGGATAATCACTCTGTGTTATTCAATTGATCAAAATTTGTAACAATCATTAACGAATTTGTCTTTCTCGGTTCTAACAAGAAGGAATGACCCATTTTCTCAACAATAACAAAATCATTAACGCATGTTTTGAAGACGTTGAGTGACAAATTCCTCTGTTTTGGTTGATGCAGAAAGATAGTTCCTTTGATGCAATGGTTCCAATTTTCTCAACTAAAATAAGCTGTTATGGCTTTCATTCTCCCTCCAACACAACTTTCTTCTATCTGAAATCGCAACATACGAAATTGTCAAGAAAAGAGTTTGCGGATAAGCAAGCTCTCATGAAAATGTGATTCAAGTAAAAGTACCTCAAGAGTAAGAGGAGGCGACGAGAGCCAAGCGAGTTCTTCCACTTGCGCTAAATCAACATTTCGCGGTAGAAACATTATGATGTTAGGCGTAATGGATTGAGCAATCTTAAACAATGAGTACCTATACAACAATTGAAAAGATATCTATTTCCATAAGAACTATTAAGCTACACAAAATCTACCACATATCATCAATAGTTTAGAGTACCCGTCTCTCGGTTTGAGCATATCCATCTTGTAACTCTCGACTTTGTTATACATCGGTCCACCCCACGGTGGCGAAAGAAACAATACGTCTCCCTAGCAGAAATGTCGATTCGAAATCAAATCTTGAACCTTGCAGATAGATAAAAACTGATTTAAG